TCAAAAGGTATTGGTGAACCACCATTCGTACTTGGTATATCTGCTTTTTTTGCATTAAAACAAGCATGTATGGCATATCGAGAACAACAAGGTTTATCAAATTACTTTACATTTAATTCTCCAGCAACTGTTGAACGACTTCGAATGACTTGTGCTGATGAATTTACTCGTCGTGCATGTTCGAATGACCATGAAAACTTTCAAGTAAAAGGATCATTTTAATGATTTAATTATTAAAATTTCTTAATCAATAATAAATATTTCTTGTCTTTTTGAATAAATTCAAAATAAACTATCAATAGATTAAGTAACATATGATAAAAAAAAGTAATGAACCAAATGTCTATCTATATATGTACTTTTTGGCAGTAGAAAGATGCTGCAAAAACGTTTTTACCAAAAGTAGTGATATCAGAATCCAAACTACTATTACCGAAATTGTCAGAAAACTAATACTAGAGTTCAGTAGAAATCTCAAAGTGAAGGTACGGCTTCATATTACACAATTCTACGTTAGACACATGTTTATCGATCAACGTTTCTTCTCAGCAGATTTACTTTCATTAGTCATGGAAATAATGCTGATATTTTTGACAACATTCACAGTAATTATAGATATATTATCACCTATAAAAACTACGAATAGTTGTATACTAGGATCTTTAGTCTCTAGTGAAAATTATCTGTCGTTTTGATATAATTTTCATTGATTTTTATTCTCTATTCGAAAGAATAGCATTGCTTCATACTTTTGTCGTTAAAATATCATTTTAATGATAAAATATTAGTATGTCATCATCGACTCACTTTCTTATCAAAGTGTGTGTGTGATATAGACAGAGTTCTTTTGCAACTACAATGTATCCAAAGATAACAATTTTATATATACACATAAACTATCATATGTACATGTCGAACAGAACCAAATAATATTTGACTTATATAATGGCCAATAATCTTCTCAAACTTTATTATTATGACATACGTGGACGTGCTGAAATTATTCGCCTTATTTTAGCTGCTGCTAATCGTCGTTATAACGATGTTCGTTTCGATATTACTTAATGGTCTGAAAATAAATCAAAAATGTTGATAGGTCAAATTCCTGTATTAGAATTTGCTGATAATACTCAATTAACACAATCATTAAGTATTGCTCGTTATTTAGCAAAGGAAATAGGTTTAGGTGGAACAGATAATCTTGAATCAGCTAGAATGGATGGTGTCGTTGATACTCAACGAGATATGAATGAAATGTTTTATAGTTTAATTGATTTTGAAAAACAAGATTTCAAAAATATGAATGATGTGAAAAAATTCATCGATGAATATTTAGCTAATCATTGTAAAAATTTAGCTAAACTTAAACAAGCATATAGTAAAAATGACAAATATTTTGTTGGCGATAAATTATCATGGGCTGATCTTTTTATTTATAATTCAATTCATGATTTATTTCGATTTTTACCACAAATTGAGAATAAATTTGATAATCAATTTCAAGAATTATTTGATAGTATTCATAATCATAAGAATTTGAAGAAATATTTGGATGAACGACCACACACAGCATATTAATTTTGATGACTTATGAAAATATAATCCGTTTTTAATATTTTTTTGATTTTAGCAAATTCTAAACAAAAATTTATGATTATTTTTACTTTTAAATCAAAATATTCTTGTGATCTAAAATGTTCGATGGTCGATAAAGAAAGAAAAGAATTTAAAAATCATTCTCTATTATATCTACCTTGATAAATGATCGTAACATAAAAGAATTGAAGATGATATTATGGACTCCGTCATACGTTCATATATATTTCATAATGTTTATTTATAGACGTTGCATCATTGATTGAAATATCTACTAAAAGTTTGATTGCTCATATATAAGATAGATTGATTATTCAAAAAGTCATGTAAATTGTTATTTATTAATCTATCATATAGGACTAGACATCAGCGTAGTGGCATATTGCTAGCTGTGTATGATTAACTACCAGTGACATTTTTGATGATTTTTTTGATTTGAAACTTCGCTCTCGTTAATTAAAAGCGTATACAAACTGTAAGATATATTTTTTTATTCCTATGAATGCTTCAATGTAGATGTTTATCTCCTGATTGTCACATGTTGCTTTTCTGTTTTCTTTTTCAGTTCTCCAATAGAATACAAAAAAAAGTACGTGCTTATTCATATCGACAAAGTACTCTATATAAATTGTGCAATAACAATATGATGCAATGCTTTTTCAATAACTATATATAAACGATTGTATTTTTATTTCATTATTGATTTATTAAATATGACTGCAGCTGTTGATAATTACCCTGTTTCATTATCAAATTTACCTACAAATATTGAACTATCAACTAAAACAAATGATGTTTTAACTGACGAAGATAATCATACAATCGAATCAATTTATTCATATTGGTTTGGTGAAAATATTAATACATGGTCGAAAAGTTATCCATTAAATACAAAACTTTGGTTTAGAGTTGATGAAAAAGTCGATCAAGATATTAAGAATAAATTTGAAAAATATTTAATCGATGTTACAACACCACATAATACTCTTTGTCAACGTTGGCAAACAACAGATCGAGGTAAATTAGCATTCATTATTCTATTAGATCAATTTCCTCGAAATATATATCGTGCTACAGCAAAAATGTTTGAATTTGATACATTATCAGTTAAATTAGCACTTGAAATTATTAATGATCCAACACACATGACAACATATAGTTTACCTGAACGATTATTTATTTATCTTCCACTTGTTCATTCAGAAGAACTTATCTATACGACTAAAGGTGCTAATTTAATGAATGATCTTGCATTAGAAGTAACTCAACGTGATTTACGTCGACGATATGCTGCAAATGCACGAGCAGCAAAAACTCATCAACAAGTTATTGAATTATTTGGGCGATATCCACATCGAAATAATCTTCTTGAACGAGAATCAACTGCAGAAGAAGAAAAATATTTAGAAACAGCACGTAATGGATTTGTAAAATCCGTTCAAATTATCAAACCACCACCGCCACCATCACCAGCAGAATCAGAATCTATTATTAATACAAATGACATATCATGTTCAACACATCCACTTTTGAAAATACTTGTTCTTCATGGTTTTCATCAGAATTCAAATAGTTTAAAACGTAGTGCAAAAAAATTATTCAAAGGTTTAAATGATATAGCAACATTTTATTATGCAAATGCTCCATTATCATATGATCCAA